AGAGAGAGAGAGAGAGGGGTTGAGACGGCGATGTTCACAGCGCCGTTTACATGAAGACGGCTGACGGACGAATACGGTCCGCCGTATGCCACGTGGACCTACAAGCGGGCCCAAGTGTTCGTCGGGCGTACACAATGGCAGATTTCGAAGTATCGTAAAATTATAATGGCACGCTTGCGATTAGACGAATTGTAATGGTATATTTCTAATCTTCAAGAATTGTAATGGCACCTTTAAAAAAAACCAAGATTCAATGGTAGGTGACTGCGCATGCATGTGCTATGCTTGTCCAGTAGTTGGGTGATGCCTCGGCTTTTGCGAGCCTACTGAGGCCTGAGGCTGTGTTGAGTCTGAGGCAGCCTGCTGATTCATTGATTTTTTTTAGCATTCATTAATCCTAATGACCGGATTTTTCATAAACTTGAGCCAACTTAGGATGTCTAGTTTTTTTAATCACACGGTAAAGACAGCGACGGATCTAGAATTTTACTAAAAGGTACTGCCGTACTAAAATTTTTACATGCATTTCTATAGTCCATTTAGCAACTCAGTAACAAATTGTAAACTGTAGTCCGCAATTTGTTGTACAAGCATTAAGCAGCGCAATAAGTCTTAAATTTATTTGATTATTACTCTGTCTTTCTATTGAGGCTACTCTTCCGCCACAGCTTCAACCGTAGGTACTGGTCACAAGAAAAAAGGCCGAACAATGTGTTGAGGCTTCTGCATCGTGCCTTTCTCTTGCCATCGCAAACTACTTTAACAAGAAAAAGGCCAGACATAAAAAGGAAGCACGGCTTGGTCCTGACTCCTTCCTTCCTGAGGTATCGTCATGTCAGTTCACAGCGAAGTAACGCACAGAGATGGATGGTGGGAGCGAGGCAGCGAGCGAAGCGCTAGCAGCCTGAATCCAGCCTGACGGCTGGTCACACGGGCGTGTTTGTTTGCCTGGACGGGGGCGAGATGCAGGCCCGCCAGCTGCAGAAGGCCGTGTTTGTTTGCTTGAATGGGGTTTGGGCCTGGGCGAGCCAGGCGCAGGGGAAACGCTCACCCCCTCCGTTTCTCGTGGGCGCGGCTCATTTCGGCCTCTCACGGGCTCCTTTTCCTGTTGTGCGGGCTCGGCCTCTCATCTCGCGCGCAACGCGGAAATTTCCCCCTCTCCCGCTAGGGTTCGCGTCCCTTGTAATCACCGCCGCCACTCACTCTTCTCCTCCTCCTCTCCGCTCTTCACTCCCTATTGCTCTCCACTCTCCTCAGTGTGCTTGCATCCTCCTCCCTCGACCGGCGGTGCGTGGTGGCGGCAGGATCGTAGGCGGGCCTTGCGTGCCTCGCGTTGGCTGCTCCTCCTTCGTCTTCGCCGGTGCAAGGGTGTTGCTGCTTGTCATCGTCTTCTTCTTCCTTGCGACGAGCGGTGGTGCTGGTTGTTGTGTTTGTTTGCCTGGACGTGGGCCTGTTGTGGATGCTGCTTCGTCCTCCACAAGCCGTCGCCTCCTTCCTCCTCCCCAAGGCGCCGGCTTCTTTCGTGGCTGCTTCCTCTTCGTTCCCCAAAGCAAGGTGAAATCTTGAAATGTTTCTTACATTTGACCCGATTTCGGCGGTCAACGTGCTCATAGCGATGTGAAGTGCCTACATATGACCCGATTTCGGTGGTCTACATGCTCATAGCGTTGTTATTCTCGGATTTATGGTTGCCTCGTGGCAGATCTGTGAGTTCTTGGTCCCAATCCATGATATTTTCATGTTTTTATTCGATTGTGATAATACATATGAGCTAAGGTTTACTGTTTAACATGGTTTGAGATTGGGATCCGATTGTTGCTGGTTTATTTGGTCGATGATGTTGAGGTGGAGCCTCTGGGTGGCAGTGCTATGCACATTGCAGCTGAAGCCATGAAGCCCTGTCTACCGGTTTCTTTTTATGTCTGCAATGATGTGCATTTAGAGGCCAACAAGGCATGCCTTAACCTGAAATCAAACTTTCATTCATGAATGTAGATGGATTTGCAGGAACAGAGATCTGCCATGGCTTCACAAGTTGCTCCCATGGTAGTTGTCATGGTTGCCCTTGTTTCATCTTAATTGAAAAGGCGTAGAGTGAAAGATGGTTCCAGTCCAGGAGGCTCGGCGTGGAACGGGACGCAGGAGCGCGCGGCGATGCGCCCGTGGCGCCATACGGATCGCTCGGGCGATTGGAGTATGTGGTCGCAGTCGCTATCCAAAGTCCAACTAAATGCCGTGGCTAGACGAAATGATGGATGCCAGTAATAAGTTTAGTTAAATGCACCGTAGGTCCATTAATTTTTGTGGCGTGTCATCTAGGTTTATCAACTTTCAAACTGTATTTTTGGGTCCATTAACTTTTGGTGGTGTGTCATCCAGGTCCATTAACTTTCAAACTATATTTTTGGATCCATTAACTTTTGGTGGTGTGTCATCCAGGTCCATCAACTTTTAAATTACATTTTAGGTCTCTAAACTTTTTAACTGGTTCACCGTAGGTCCATACCCCTTCGTTTAGTGAATAGATCTGACATGGCACGCTAAAAAAGCAGCCACCGTGGAGTACATGACGAGATCACCGTTTGGAGATAATCTTCAATATACGAAGAACCTGATGGGATCACCATCTAGGGTTTCTCGAGCGGTGACTTGATGGGGAATAAACTCCACAATAAAATCCAGTCTAATCTACCGGTACAAGGCCAAAGGCCATAGGTATAGGCACGTAGGCCACCTGACCCAAACAAAACTCGGACTCCACCAACCCAACTAGGACCGATTGACTCTAAGTCCTTGATTCGGCTAACATGCACGGCAAGTCTAAACATAGCCACCAATTTGATTCACGTACACAGGTGCACGTAGGCACTAAAAGGCAGATGCTAGATAAAAAATCGTGTATCACAATTGGATAGGAAACTAATGCATGGAAATAATAAAATACTACGGCAATGATGCTAATCACGTTGGGAAAATTCCATTGATGATCTCCACCTCTTTAGAATTAATACTGATGTATTTTGTTGGCTTTATTTTCTCCTCCTTTCCACATAATAATAAGGCACCTCTATAAAATATCTTTGATGAATTTCTATGTCCACAATATATTTATCCTTTAAAACAATAGTCCTAAATTTAAGACCAGAGGATATTAACGAATTACTAGCTGCTACATTTGAATTATTGCTAGACAAGTCTCCATGAACATCTTGAAGAGTTATGGACTCATCACCCACTCCACGGTGGCTGCTTATTTGGCGTGCCATGTCAGATCTATTCGCTAAACGAAAGGGTATAGACCTACGGTGAACCAGTTAAAAAGTTTAGGGACCTAAAAATGTAATTTGAAAGTTGATGGACCTGGATGATATACCACCAAAAGTTAATGGACTCAAAAATGCAGGTTGAAAGTTGATGGACTTAGATGACACACCACCAAAAGTTAATGAATTCAAAAATGCAGTTTGAAAGTTGATGGACCTAGATTACACACCAACAAAAATTAATGGACCTACAGTGCATTTAACTCTAATAAGTTTTTATTATTGTGCTTAGGTGCCCGCTGCCCCACATGCTATGTTACGCCCTCGTATATAAACACGCTATCTCATTAAGGGTGTGTTTAGTTCACGAAATAAAATTTTTTGTATGTCACATCGGATGTTTCGGAGATGTCGGAAGGGATTTTCGGATACTGATAAAAAAAACTAATTACATAGCTCATCTGGAAACTGCGAGACGAATTTATTAAGCCTAATTAATCCATCATTAGCGCATGTTAGTTACTATAGCACTTATGACTAATTATAGACTAATTAATCTTAAAACATTCGTCTCGCGATTTTTAACCAAACTGTGCAATTAATTTTTTTTTCGTATATATTTAATACTCCATGCATGTGCCGTAAGATTCGATGTGATAATTTAGGGTGAAAATTTTTGAAACTAAACCAGGCCTAAATGCGACTGAGTTAACAGATATTAAGATTGATGAGATGACCACAACCATCTTCAGCTTGTTCGCTTGCTCGTAAATGATCATAAATCCATCCATTTTTTGGGTCCACGTTCCCGTAAATAATCCGCGATACGTCTAGAGTTCTTATCGTCGATGGACATGTTACGTATACACGAGTAACTGAGTACTTGTGTTAAGTCAAGAATTTAAATTTAAATGGACAGATTCCGTCTCAAATATATCTATATTTATATCTAGTAATAAAGAGGCTTAACACAAGAGTCCGATTCAAAACGTATTGGTCGTGTCCTACTCCGATACGGGTCGTGGTTTGGAAAAGGGTGTGTGAGCCAAAATTATATTAAGAGATTCATCTGTAGCACACAAGAGTTCTGTCCGTTTCTAACTTCTAATGTATTGGATTGGGATACGGAAGTTACAAAGAGAAAGATACAACTATAATCAGCTATCCCCTCTACAATCTCAAAGTTCGTTTAGCCTTGCTTGTCCATGACGGATTAGAGTAGGCCCGTGCCTTTATAATAAGATTGGGAACCAAATCAAAGTCTAGCCTCGAGAGCAAATGGAAGGCTGTGGCAACAACGAGGCGTGGTTCAAGAAGAGATGGCAACGTACGTACTAAGCAACTATGAGCAGCAAAAGGGATTTTCGAATCATAAAATAGCCTGTCGTCTTCAAACATTGCAGGATTCAATCGAAAGAACTTGCGATTGATCTCGAGGAAGCTTTACTACGGAATCGGAATTGGATCTCACCATCGGAAACTCGATTTTGTAGACGAGCCCCTCCGCTCCGCTTCAATGCTGAAGCACCGGTTTTTCCGCTGAGACAAGCGTGAAAGAAGGAACTGAAAAATAGTACATCGCCCCCAGCTCGCGTAGGCCATGGCTCGGCCGTAGTCAAGTTTTCCGCTGAGGCGAGCAAGGCCGGTGGAGGGGCGGAGCGGGACGACGGCGCGGCGAGCTCCGACGGCGACGTGGCGACCTCCGAGGACGGCGGCACGAAGCGGCAAGCTCTAAGGATGGCGGCATGGAGAGACAGCTATGAAGATTGCGGCGTGGCGAGCTCCAAGGGATGTGGCTCGGCAGACTCCGAGGCTCTAAGGACGGCGGCGTGGAGACGCAGCTCTGAAGATGGCGGCACGGTGAGCTCCGAGCGACGCGGCTCGGCAGACTCTGAGGGCCCGGAGTTCGGGAGGGCGGGCGCGGCTGTTCCTGGGGAGTCGCCGGCGGCGGGCGTGGCGGACCACGGACTCGCCCAGGCACTGCGTGCGGTGGATAAGGATTCGGTGCAGAAGTTTTTTTTAAGAAGGAAATCCATGGAGAAGTGTGAAAATAACTAAAATAAGTGCGGAAGAAAATAAAGGAACAAAACAAATGAATTTTCTGTTTTCCCTCTCCAATTCCTTTCATCGTTTGTCTTTCCGATTTTTTTCTTTCCTGTTTCCGGTTACTTTGCCTTCTGTTTCCATTGGATGTGTTTCCAACTTTTTGTTTTCTATTTCGGGGTTTTTTGGTTTTGTTTCTCTCGGTAATCCCTTTACAATTTTGATTGTTTTGTTTTCCGTTTTTATGGTTGTTTTTTCCAACAAGTGTTTTTTATGTTTTTGACCGGTGATTTTCTCATAAAAGTCTTTGAACCATTGATCTCTCCTCTAAAAACAAAATTTTGCACTACTAAACTACTGATGTAATTTTAAGTATAAACAAAACTTATTCTTACTAAATTTTGATCAGTTGTTTGTCCAACTAATCAAACATCATGCAATTTTAACCACTTTGTTATCTATAATCTGATCTAAATAAATGTACCTCTATGATCCATAGCGAGAGCCACTGCATGAAAAATCAAACAGAGGTCTCTCATCATAATCATGGGTGGATAGACCAATTTTTTACACGTTACAAACTACTCTTTGCCGAATTTAATAAAATATTAAAATTACATATGTTTATGGATTGTCAAAGAAAACCACACAACTCCACATTTAAATGTCGCAACACATGCACAGTGTGAAAATTAAAGTTACGATATATTGGCGTCTAAATATTTTTGAGCTTTGCAACCGAAAAACAATGTAAGTTAATCTTGTAGTTGAATTCAATATAGGCTTAGTAGGACATTGTCATATTATTGCTAATATTAACTTACATTATGGATGTCTTGTCATCATCATAAAATAATTTATTAAATTTTATGAAAAGAGCAAACCATAAATAAAAATCTACTATTCATGCCTTCATTTTTCCATAACCATTTGATTGTTTTTTCTCCCGTTACAATGCACGGGCACTTTTGCTGGTATAACCTAAAAAGGGCATATGCGTGTACAAGTTTTTTTGTAGAGTGGTATGGGAATTCTGCCTGACACAGAGAGGGAGAGGGCGAGATGTGCAGAAAAATCGGAGGTAGAATAAAAAGCTGCTGGCTGTCAATTTTGATCGCAGGGCTTTGATTCATCTATTGAACGAATGACTTTTAGTAAGTTGTCAATTAGCATATCAATTCTAGGGCTTTACTTTTAAAAAGTTTATATATCCAAATCAATGTAAGAAAAGATCTGTGGTAGTTTGGACTTCTGTTGCAAGTTTGCAGGCACAGGACTCATCTGCAGTCGGTGGGGTGGGGGAGATAAGGAGCGAATGGAGGGGCACAAATGTGACGCCACGGGCGGATGGACTCGACATCGGAACTACCAACATGATGATTGATGAACGCGCGCCCGACGCATAGGCCTCCGTGCTCGTTACGCCCCACCAACCTTCTCCACTACGCCCGGACAAATGCCGTGGCAAGGAGAGACAACACCCACGCTAACTAACGCTCATATAATCAACTTTGTACTATTTGTATAGTAGTACTTAAACTAGCAGCATTCCAAAGCACTCATGGTCACATCTTGTTTGGATTGTGAAATGTACTCCTAAAAACCGCCTAGCCTATTGCCACTTTGCCAGCCGTTCCTTTTCTAGACCCCATCCATGCCATTTCCAAACAAGATTTAATTTATTGAAATGCTGACACATGTAAATAGGTGTGCATAAATGGTCTTTCGATTTTAATTGAAAGGCCGAGGAACGTGATCCGCCCTTGAACTCTAAAAAGAAATAGGTGTACATAAATACTGCTTGTTTTCCATTATTTAAAACTATGATTGAGTTTGATATGTAGTTTTACGTTGATTGGCACACAATATGCATTGAGAGCTTGTAAAACTTTCCTTCTCAATTTTCACTCATCCAAATTTGATGCACGAATCCCTACGGCCATGGATGAACAAGAATAGTCCAATTTGGCACTACTCTAATAGTTGCTAGAGTTTGATGTTGTCTCTCCAACTCCAGCACAGATATCTTGTGTGCTCCAATTGCAAAACCATTTATCGCTGCCACGTTAGCATCCTCCTCATCCTTTTCTTCCGACCATCGCCTCCCGTGGCTTGGGATAAGGATTGGGGTGGAACGATCCATGGATCTCCTCTAGTTCAACCTAATGAAATATATGTGCAAAAACGAGGGAAGGAATTGTTTAATTAGCTCTTTATAAGTTGAAACTAGAGGAGAACCACAGATACTCATTGGATCACCATCCCCATCCTTAGTTTGGGAGATGTTGATCTCATGATCTATTGAGGCGCTAGAGCTAGCGTTGCCTTGTTGAAAATCAGTTTTGATGTCGTGAAGACTACATTGCTTCATCAAGGGTCCAAGGCATGGAAATTGTGCAGGATGAAGCAGAAGCCACTGCACCGTTTGAGTATTCACCGTAATTCTTGGTTCAAGCTTTGAGCATACAACAAGAATCAATCTTGAAGCCTTAGGCCTGCAATCCACCGACCTCAGCGACCTTGACGCTTGCTTCCCGGGGGCGGAAGTTTTGTCGGTGATCATTGACATTCCATCAGACAAGGCAGGTTCACTAGGCTCTTCTACGAGCGCCGTGCCAAACAAGCCCTAAAGATATAAAACAAACGGTTTATATACATAACTAGAACTAGGAAATTAAAGGTACTCGGTTTAAAGATTGAAGGACGCAACGGGCAACCGTCGGCCACCGTTCCCGTGGATTAAAATTCAAGCGTGGCTGAGCGAATCTCAAGCTGACGTGTGTACTTCCTACCGTCGCACTCATGCAAGGTCAAAGGTGGACACGAATCTCAAAGCATATGCATATGCATGCACATGCGCAAGCACAACTGCACAACCCGATTCACGTCCCCGTGGCAGACCCGGTGGCCCACCGGATGAAGTACGTACCGAATTAGAAGATGGAGGAATCTTCTTCGGTTGAGACGTTGCTTTCCGCTACACCACCTCTGCTCTGCTGCAGGCTGCAGCTCAAGCTAGCTCAACCCTGCAGCGAGGGTTAACCAATCGTGCATTCGTGATGTGCTAGCAAGAAGAGAATCTCCCTTTTGAGTGCCACATGCGCTGTGTTTGTGTTGTCTAGTGTAGGCGTAGCACGCTTGGTGTGCCACTACCGATTTTAAAAGCCATTATATTACGCTTTCCTACACCGCACGGCTCAGTCACTCACCCACTCAGAACGAAAGCCCCAGCAAAGCTCAGCTCAGCTGCTCACAGTCCCACACCCACACCCACAGGCCACACAGCACAGCGGAGCAGAGTAGTGAGCACTGAGCTGCAGGGCAGCAGAGCGCGCGGTTAGGCACGGTCAGCCATGAGCAAGGAGGACAAGCACCACCGCCACGAGCACCACCTGCGTCGCTGCTGCGGGTGCCTGGCGTCGTGCCTGCTGGCGCTGGTCCTCATCGTCGCCTTCGTGGCGCTGGTCATCTACCTCGCGCTCCGCCCCTCGAAGCCGTCCTTCTACCTGCAGGACCTGCAGCTGCGGCGGCCCATCTCGCTGGGCGACCCGTCGCTGACGGCGTCGGCGCAGGTGACGCTGGCCTCCCGCAACCCCAACGAGCACGTGGGCATCTTCTACAAGCGCCTGGACGTGTTCGTGACCTACCAGAACGAGGCCGTGACGGTGCCCGTGTCGCTGCCGCCGCAGTACCAGGGCCACCGCGACGTCACCGTCTGGTCCCCCGTGCTGTCGGGCGAGTCCGTGCCCGTGGCCGGGTACGTCGCCGACGCCCTGAAGCAGGACGTCGCGGCCGGCTTCGTCGCGCTGCAGGTCAAGGTGGACGGCCGCGTCAAGTGGAAGGTCGGCAGCTGGGTCTCCGGGAGCTACCACCTCTTCGTCAGCTGCCCCGCCGTGCTCTCCGCGGGGTACCCCGGCGTCGTGGGCGGCGGCGGCAACAACTCCGTGTCGTCGCTCAAGTTCGCGCAGCCCACAGGATGCAGCGTCGAGGTGTGATGTGTGATCCACGGATGACGCACTCAAGTACAGTAGTTCGATCGCCCCCCCCCACACCCCACCCCCCCCCAAGTACTGCTACTCAAATTTCTTTGGGTACACCGTTAATTACGTTGTTAATTTTGTTCATGTCATTCCCATTCTCATTCTCTTGTGGGAGAATAAATTTCTGTTGCAGGCCATAGGGCTATGTTCACTTGAGTTTATAAGCCAGTAAAGCCTTATTTTAGCTCGCTGTTTCTCGCTTTCGCAAAATCATTCTATAAATCAACCGCAAGAACAATAAGTCCTGTAAATCAAGCTGTTCAAAAACAATAAGTCCTCTCGAGCAGAGCCATAGCTGTTCAAAAACTTTGAAGTCAATTGTACCAACATGTATTAAGCATTTGCTTTCGTCCTTTGTCCTGAAATGTAGGTACGTGTAATGACGACTAAAGAGTAGTACTAGTACTCCGTTTTTATTACAGTCACACAGTACATGATGAACGCGCCAGGGCAAGCATCAAACTACGTTCCTGTATTTTGTAAAAAAAACCCTACGTTCCTGTACATGCACACGTACGATACGTTAAATAGGCGAGGCGTCACATCGTTCAACAGCTAGAGATCCTACATGTATGGCGCCGGTGAGAGTCGACAGTGACAGCTCGCCAGCCACTCGAGCAGGAGGCAGCAGCGCCTTAATTCAGCACCAAAATTTAGACCTAGTTTAGTTCTGACTCTAAAATTTTACGCCTTGTCATATCAAATATGACACATATATTAAATATAAACTAAAAAAATAATTAATTACACAATTTACGACTAATTTATGAGATGATTTTTTAAGCCTAATTAGATCATAATTTGACAACAAAGTGCTACCGTACACACATGCTAATAACGGATTAATTATGTTTCATAAATTCGTCTCGCAGTTTACTAGCGAATTCTGTAATTTATTTTTTATTAATATCTGAACACCCCATACGATACCTCCATATACCATCTGATGTGACATCTAAAACTTTACAAGTTGGA